AGGCTGGCCTCCAGGTGATTACGTCCCCTGATGGTCAGAGGAGCGAGCTCTTCCGTTGCCGGGGGGCGGCGGAGGCGGCGCACGTGGTCGGCACGCCGTCTCGTGAGGCGACACGGCCGGCCGACGGCACGTGCCGGCACCCACGGTCGGGCCACGAGCACCGCTGCTGAATGAGGAGCAGCTGACACGGTGCCGTGACGGCCACGAGGCTCCTCGCCGCCAAGAGGGCCACGCTGCCGTGTTGTGCACCGCTGAGGTCGCACGCGTGCCCGCGTCACGACATGACCGTACTGGCGTGCATTTATAGCCGACGAAAACGCCAACAAAGGCTAGTGAGCGTTTATTGCACATCGTCGGCATGCGACAGCGACAAATCGGAGCGTCTCGTGATAATACAAGAATAGCTTAAAGGCTTGGCGCCAACAACGTAAACTGTACGCAAGGGCGTATAGACGTTAACAAAGGATAGCGAGGCAAACATGTGACGGCGCGACATAAAGCGTGGGGAGTGAGCGTAAGACGCTGTTGACAAACTGATAGCAGCAAATCAGAGCTCCAGCATGGAAGGTAAGCAAAACGCTACACGCCGAGCGCGAAGCAGAGAATCATGCGACACTGCAAGTGTGGACGCAACATTCAGCCATGGCCACAGCTCCGACTCAGCTGTTGCCAGCTGTGTTGGAGAGCGCGCCGTGCGTGCCGCGGCAGCGGCGGCGACGGCGGCGACGGCGGTGGCGTACCTGCCGGCTCCTGGCTGGACGTCTCACTGTTGGTCCGGGCGAGCGAGGGCTGACGGAGCTCCGACCCGGGCCCGCTATGGCATCGCATGTACGATACTAGGCTCCAGCCCACTACCACCCGCACCCAACTATGACGTCGCTTCCGACCCAGCACCGCTTTAAGGCGGGCAGGTGTGTGACGTCATACACCGATGACGTCACACATGCTGGCCAACGGCAGCCACGGACGGCGGTGACGTCATGCAGCGCTGCGCCAATGACGAGGCCCGCTGGCTGGCGGCCACCGGAAGGTATGACGTCGCTCCCGACCAGGTGGGTGTGACGTCACACCCTGGATCGATGCGTCGGCCCGCCGCCGGTGCCCGTCGACGACGGCAGGTACCATGCATAAGTGATGCTGAGGCGCGTCCCACAGTCGTCTCGCGCACGCCACTCTGATGGCGAGCCGCCGGCGGCACCGGAAGCGCGCCGGAAGTAGGGCGGTCGCCAGCCGCGCGACCCGTGGATACAGCGGCGGCGGACGCGACGGACTTCCAACAAGCCGCCAACGGCACACCCGCTTCGTGGCAGTCGGCACGGATGGAGAGTGATCAGGTGCTAGGCTGGGTTGCGACGGCTGGTTCAGGGGGCTGTCGTATGCTTCCGCGTCATTTCGTCTTTGTCTAAGTGTGATCTAAGTCAAGTGATCCTCTGACGCCTCTGGTGTGTCGACTCAGACCCAGCCCTGCACTAAAGCAAGGTCTGTGAAGGCGGACAGGGGAAAAGGGGACCCAGTACCATGCTTTCAAATCCATGGTATTGGACAGGGCTTACTTGCGTTGAAACATGGTAGAGGTGAAGAGTAGATAGACGAGAGAGACGGTGTGTGTTACCGCACGTACAACACTCTCCCTTGCCTCCTAGCCTCACTCAAACTGTAACGCTCTGCCATTGAATCGAAAGGCATTCCCAGCCCTTCGCTTATGGAAACTCTTGCACTACTGCTGTCGGCCTTTTTGGATATCACCTTTCCTTCGCCAAGCTTGCGTCACGTACACGGGTGTTGTTAATGGTGCTCACCCACAGCACGCCTCTCCCAGCTGGCAGCGGTACCCCTTGCTGGGCGGCACGCCTCTCGCAGCTGGCAGCGGTACCCCTTGCTAGGCGGCACACCTTTCGCATCTGGTAGCGATACCCCTTACTGGGCTGCACGCCTCTCGCAGCTGGTAGCGGTACCCCTCGCTGGGCGGCACGCTTCTCGCAGCTGGTAGCGGTACTCCTCGCTGGGCGGCACGCCTCTCGCAGCTGGTAGCGGTACCCCTTGCTGGGCGGTTTGCCGTCACGAGCCAGCGGACGTTTCGGCTCTCTCATTACCATTCAATCTATCAGTGACCGATAATTAATCTGCCGACACTTGACCATTACGGTGTTCGTAGAACACATGTGACACAGTGTTTTGGAGACGGACAGGTGAAACATAAGTTTCTAGAGGGTTCTAAAGCCTCATTCTGCTATCATTTAGTCGACTGACGCGTCACAAAAGCTGTGCCTCTAGGGAATGCTCTACATTTGGAGATATTGAAGCAAGCATCAGGCATGATGAAATAAGCTTACTTGCAATGATTTGTATACTTTTCAGTGGAACAGAATGTTCTACACAATATCTTTGTTTATTTAGTAACTATGTCTCTTAATGAGCCGTTGTCTGACTGCATCATGGGACTTTTGTATGGCCCCGAGGTGCTGTCAAAATAGTCATGCGGAATTGCCATCCATGCACTCACTTGTAGTACTTCACTCTCACCGACAGATGGCAGTGCGGTGTTGGAAATGCTACCTGTGCCAAATAGCATTATGTGCTCGTATTTTGTCCATTTCTCGTAATATTCGC